GGAGTCAACAGTTTGTACAGCATTTGTTTAGCACGTATGTAAGTATTTCCAACGAGGGGGTCAAATCTTCAAACTAGAGGCATACCAACCACTTCACATCGACCAGGGGCCAATTCCATTCAAGTGGCCACCTTCCCCTTTTGGGGACTATTGAAAAAGTTACTATTTTCTTTTACAACTAACTGTTCACCCTGGCCTCTTCCACTGATGAAAGCAGGCAAAGCCCACGCTGTGTGTCTGTCTCCTAGAGAAGATTGCATCTTTTATTTATCGCCCCTTGGCTTTATTTTCACAGTGAATTCCTGGCTTAAATGCAATCAGCCAAGAAACCCTCCCTATGTGCTCTCCTGTCATTCCTCATTGCTTGCAAGCAGAGTCAAACACAGCAAGGGGAAAGGGGGGGGGCGGAGTGGGTGGAGGGACACGGCTCAACGTTGCCAGCCAAGCCATAAAAATTCGCAGACTCTAGTTATACTCGGAAACCATAGATGTGCTTCAGTCGGTTTCAAACCGGCAGAAGAGGGGAGAAAAGAGAGAGATGTAACTTAAAAGAATGTTAATTAGATGTTAAAGGAAAGAAAAGGAAAAAAGGATGGATAGCCTCGAAAATCAACCCCCCTCTAGACAGAAGGAAAGGGTGCTGAGACACACTGAGGGCTGTCTTTGGAAATAAATGACCATGCAGAAAATCACGTTTTCAGATTACATTAGAATTCAAATTAACCAAACAGGATTAAAACAAATCTCTTGTGTCGGGGCCACTATCCAGACCCCCATTCCACTCCCAACGAGAAGGATAAAAGGATCGGACTACAGAGGAGAGCAAGTTAAAAATGAGACACACACACACACTCACACGGTCTTTCAAATCTATCCATCCCCATTCATTTGGTTCAGGGTTCATCCCTTCCATTTCAACCAGACAGAGATCTGGTTATAAAATATGCCCTCAGCAATCAAGAGGGGGAAAAATGCGGACAGGGGAGTTTCTCTGCAGCATTGTTCACTTCGGTCCAGTTCGAACATTCCCATAGCTAGGACTGGAAAAGATATCTAAACAGAAGAAAAAGAAAGAGCACTGTGGAAGGAGAGGGTAGGGATTTGAGAAAACTCTCCGGGTCTGTCAGAGAAAGGAAGGCTGTGCAGCTTAAATCACAAGTCCTTCTCTCGCCTTTGTCAAATATCTTCTACTTTACAAGCCCTGAAAAGAAATAAAGAGGCTCTTTTGTTTGCTTTCCCCTTTGCGGAGGGTGACAGAAAATTGAAAGGGGCACAAATAAACCTGAAAGGAGAACAAAGTGCCGGGTGGTGCGGGGCGGGTAGCGGCGCAGGGGCCCCGGGGGCCCTTCGGTGCGGACGCCGGCCGCGGGTCACGGCGTCGGGCGGTGCTGCCCAGCTCCCTCCGCACCGCGCCCCGACCCCGGGCGCAGGCCCAAGTCGGGCGGCGGGGTAGGGGGGCTCACGGGACCCAGAAGCACGAGCGGCGCCCCTCAGCGGCTCGGCCAGCCGTCGCTCCCGGCGAGGGTGGCCCGGGCACCCGGGCGCCGCGGATCTCGTCTCGAGTGCCTTAGGGAGCGGGGGGGCCCACGGTGCGGACCAACCGTCGGAGCCCCGAGCAGAGCGGTGGCCGGGCGGTGTTGGGGGGACTCGCCCCCCTTCTTGGACCGCGGGGCGCGGAGCGGCGCCAGAAGAAAGGACGCGAGCCGGGCAGCGCCGAGCGAGCGCCCCGGCCGGCATTGTCTGCGGCCCGCGCCCCCTCCCCCGCGCCGCACGCCCCAGCCCGAGCGCCGCGGCCGCCCGCGCCTTTGTCCACGCCCGCCCCGCACACCGGCGCGCAGCCTGCGGGACAGACGACGGGGACGCCGACACCCACCGCCCCGCCGCCGAGGGGCGCGTCCTGCTGATTCATTTCCCACTCGCGCTAGCCCGTCCGGGGAGACGGGGGCGGGGACGAGCGAGAGGAAATGGGCGCTCCGCTCCGGGGACCGTCCGAGCGGCCCGCTGCACCGTGCGCTCAGCCCGGGGCGGTCAGGGGAGCGCAGGGGACCCTTCCCTCCCCACACTCCCAAGGGACAGAAGGACAGACTGAAGGACCGACGGCCCGCGGCGACCCCGTGACTCACCGACTTGCAGGACGTTGTCTACGCAGCCACTCTCCAGCAGCGCGATACCCCGGCGGAAGGGCAGCCGCGTCTCGTCGCCGCCGTCCGCAGCGCTGGCCGCCCCCACCGACGGGGTCCCGGTGCCCGCGGCGGCGGTGGCGGCAGCTGAGGTGGCAGCCGGCGAGGATGAGGAGCCGCCGCCGCCCGCGCCGCCGCCCGTGCCGCCGGGGCCGCCGCTGTCGTCGCCGGGGCCGCCCGTGGAGCCGCCGCCGGTGTTGAAGGACGAGTACATGCAGATCTCCCGCTCACTGCGGGGAAAGGACCAGTAGACGATGCGGCGCTGCACCGGCTCCGGGATGCGCTCGAAGCGCTCCTCCACGCGCTGGAACGGCCACTTCTCCGCCACCCTGCGCGCTGCGATGTCCAGCAGAGACTCGGGGCTCTGGGTCTTGCCCGGCGGCAGCAGCCCCAGTGCCGCGCCGCCCCCGCACGCCGCCGCCGCCGCCGCACCGCCCGCCCGCGGGCCGGGCCGACAGGCAGAACTGTAGCCGCCACCCGCGCCGCCGCCGCCGCTGCTGCCCCCGCCGCCGCCGCCGCCGCCGCCCGGCCGGCAGCAGAGCCGTTTCGCGGGAGGAGGCTGCTGTCCGCGCTCCGCCATGACCGCGCCGCTTCTAACCCGACAGCGGAAGTGCCGGGACCCTATAAACGGCACAAGGAAGCGCGACACGCACACGCCGTGGCGACGCCACGCTGCCATCTAGGGCCCGCCGCTCCTTGTAGGGGCACGGGAGGTGTGGCCTAGGCTGTGACGACGTCGCCGAGGAGGAGCGCCGATAGGGAGAACCTAGGGCCGGGGGCGGAGCCTATGCAAATCACTGGGCTGAAACATAAATAGAGCGCTCCGTGGACACGGGGGTGGCGGGGGCACTCGGGTTGGGTGCCCGGTGGGCTGTGAGAAAGTCAGGCTGCTGTGACGCGGGGGGCGGGGCTCAGGCGGGGTTCCCGCGGGAGGGGGCGGGCCGCCGGCCAAGGGGAGGGTGGGTCGGTCTCTGCGCCCCCTTCTTCTCAACTTAGCCCTCCAGCGCCCAGCCTCCTTTTGATGTCCGCCAAGTGAAGACGCGCCTCGTGGGTCTCCGCGGGGCGGGGAGGGGAGGAGGGGTCCGGACTAAATGGGGGGCGGGCCGACGGCTCGATGCCCCACCCCCCCCCCTCCAGCCGGCCCCGCGGGGAAAAGCCTCTGGGCGGAGGAGGCGCTTTCAAAACAAAGAAATGCTGCGTGAAGCCCGGGGGACGCGGCCGAGAGGAAGGCGGGGGAGGCACAGCCCAGGCCGCCTGCTTTCCTTCCAACCCGGCCGAGCGAACTTCCCCCCACCGTCGGCCAAGGCTGCGGCACCGGGGAAGGGGGAGGAGGGCTGAGCTCAGCCACTGTTTTCCACTTCACTTTTCGCCGACCCAGGTGGGGAAGGGGCGCGGCTGCCCCGCGGAGCCGCAGCTCGCCCAGCCCTGAGCCCCGGGTTCGCTCCGGCCCGGTCACGGGCAGGGAAGTCGAGCCGACCGAGTGCCCGGACACGCAGAGCGCTCCGAAGCTGCTCCGCAGCCGCTGGACGCGCGTCCGGAGCCAGCCGCGCGCCCCGCCCCACCTTCGCACTCCTCCAGCCCTTCGGGCCAAGAAGCCGGCCCGCCTGGGTGCAAGCCCGAACCCCAATCGCCCTCTGCGGCGACCTGGTGCAGCCTCAGGGATCGGGCTGCTCCGGTTAGAGCGCACACACGGGCAGTGGGTCGCGCCAACTCTCGGTGGCGAAACGATTGCTCGCTCACCGCCGCCCGGTTGCGGACAGCGGCCGGGCTGAGTCCCGGAGTCCTGGCGCTCACGACGCGCGCCCCGCTCCCCTGCCGCACTGGCGGCGCCCGATCGGCTGGTCCTCCCGCAGCAGGCCAGCAGGGCGAGTGTATAGCGCTGGGCGCCGGTGCCCGGGCGCCAGCGGAGGCGGTGAAGAGAGTCCCCGTCTGAACCGGGAACCCTGCGGACATTGTTCTTTGCGCTCTGCAGAGCTGGGTTAGATCTCAGCCAAGCCGCAGGCTTAATGACCGCGTTAGACACCCTGACTTCTTGCTCCACCTTCTGTTTTTACTGTAAACAGTGTTAGAGATACTGTCCTATTGTTGGAGATAAGCCTTAGCTCCTTTCGCGCGTTGGCTACTCCCCACTGCCTGGTCTGAATTTAAACGACTAAGCGCGTCGGCGTTGTAAAGAAAATTGCCCACTCAAAGCGAAGGCCGCCCGAGACATTGGACGTGATCCATGTCGGGCATCAGGAGCCCCAGGCTAGAGGTCCCTGGAGACAGAACGCTGGCAGACTTTCCATAGCTGCTTGTTAGGAAAATTTTGGTGACATGTTTTTGTATATTCATCCAGTATTTTTCTAGGCACCTCCTCCGTGCCTAGGAAAAAGCTGGGCAGCAAACTGGGAAATCTTTATGGGTAAGTGGAAGAGGAAGTCTCTGTCCTTTGGTTGTTTAATATCTAGATCTCTTAAAAATAAGTTTTGAGAGACTTTAAAACTTAGACTATTGGCGCAGAAAGTAGGGTGAGCTCTAGTCTGTCCCCCAAAAGTCATGACAGGGTTTGTGCAGTATAGGTCGCCAAGCATTCTCACACGTTTACATGGGCCGCTGAATTGGAAAGTTAACGATGACAAAAATTGGGTGCCCTCAGAATAAATGACTCATTCGGGGTCAGATGTGGTGTTAGCGGAATGGATTAATTTCCATTACTGGAAAATAACGCACCTTTAAAGGGGTCTAACATTTAAAGAATTTGATAGTGTAATGAACTAAAGAGACTGAATCTGAGGCATGGACCTTCCCTGGAGGGATCTAGTCATTTTATGTTTAGTTTTTACTGGGGATGGAAACCAGGCCCTCGAGCCTGAGTGTTCTAGGGCTGAACTATAACCCTAGCCCTGGGGCAATCCAGCTTCATTTTCTAATTCAAAGAAAAGCTCAGGGCACAGGCACAGGCTAACCCAACTTGATCTCCCTGGGGGGTCTCTGCTACCCCCTCCACTCTTCCTTTTGAACAGTTCTCCTCACTCTTGGGTTTCTCTGGCCCCCTGCTGCCCCTTCTAAGTCTTCAGGTCATCTTCTTTTCCCTCATTTTTTGTTTCTCTTCCTCAGACTTTAATGTACCCTCTTCCTATAGTCTATTATGAGGGTCTTTTGATGACACTTCTTGGAGTCAGCACCGTTGCAAACCTCGGCTCATCTTTTCCCTACGTCCAGCTCACTGCAGTCATTGTCAGAATGCCTATTCCAAACTCAAAAGTACTGCAAACCCCCAGAATATAGGTTGTCTACTTCGGATTTTTTTTTCTCCCAGCAGTAGCCTATAAAGAGCGCCCCTAAACTGCTGTCCTCCCTAACAGTGTCTTCTAGTCTGCTCCCCCAGTTTCACTTGCAGTACTGACTAGCCCAGCCTTTTCCCCTGCTTAGCCAATGTTTCTTCCTCTTCACTCTGCAAGAGGCTTGTTGCTGGCCTGGCATGTCTGTGTAGCCCTTCCTCCTCCGAGTCCTCCCCCACCCAGCTGCCCAGCTCTCAAAGTACATTTCTGTTGGTATCACCCTCCCTTTAAAAGGCTTCTGTGCCTACTGGAACAGGTCCAGACTCTGATCTCTCTTGACCAAACCCAACTTTCCAGTCTTGTCTTCTACCAAATAAAACCCAAACGAAATTTTCCCCAGTTCCCCAACAGGAATGCTGTTCTGTCCCAACAGGACTCTCCTGCCCCACACATTTGCTCAAGACATTCCTGAGGCCTGAAACCTCTCTCTTCTCTTAGAATTCGTTACATTCCTACCCTTCCTTCAAGGGCTTGCTTAAATGCCACTTCCTCTGGAAAAACCCACCTTGGTGCGTGACCTCTGAGAGCCTTAATACTCTGAATTTGTCTTGTGACATTTGTACCATCCTGCCAAGCACCCCACTTCTGAACTATTGTCTTTTCCTTGCCAGGTTAGACATTCTCTGAGGGGTTGGGATTATGTCCCCTTTTCTGGAGCCTCTGACCCACCCCCCTCCCCCACACCAAGCCTTCTGCCTATAGTTAGCTCCACCCAGAAGCCCAGTGATGGCATGCCACCTTCCGGTGGGGCTTGTGCTGCTTCTCAATATGGTAGTTATTTTCCGCTGTTTGTATAAATCCTTATTAAATTATTGACAATTTCCCTTTCCTACCAGGCTTCTACCCCAGGGACCCGACCAGGGTTAGAGCCATCTCCCGTGTTTACCATCCAGCAGCAGCAGGAAACCAGAGTGCTGGAAGGCAACAGCTTCCCATGTGCTCTGACTCATGACGTCATACAGCAGTGTGGTCAGGGGCTAAGATCCCCATCGACTTTGTGAGTAGTTCTTCCAGTACCTATACTGATGAACTCAAGGAAGAAACAAACCCCACCCATTCACCACAACCAACACCTGGCCTATGGCACTGGGTGCATGGATGGAGAACAGGCAGGAAGACACAGGACTCTACGGAAGTGGAGACTAGCCTGAGATCTGTCATTCCTTTTACGTCTTTAAGTTTTAAAAAAAAATGCCTGTGTATCACACAGGAAGCAGAGGCAGGAGGATGAGGCCTGCAAGGCCAAGCTTGGGCTAGTCAGCATGAATTTCTTTCAAAGAAACGAAACCAAATTTTTTTTAATTGAATTCAGTAACAGGTTATCAAATTCCCAGAGCACTAATTTTCACTGCAGCCCATAATGCACACATAACGGACAGGGGAATCAGAAGTTAAGATGTGACAAGCTCCCCACATGCGTCTCGGAAGTTACCCTCTGGTAGTGAGCACTTCACACGGTCCCAGTACTTAGGGCTACAGGAAAAGAAAACCAGTTGCCTCATCATTACTAGTCATCTCAGCGAATTGAGACAATAATTTGCCATTAGTAGGAAGGTTCTAAGACATGGAAATTGGATTAGATCTGAGGAACTTCGAGACATTTGAAGACAGACACAAAGCTATCCACATTTTCATGCTATTTTCATACTGGAATGTGTTTTTTATATTAACCAAAGCCAATAATGTTCCAAGGAGTACGATTCAATTGTTTAGAAGGGAATAAAAGATGCAGATAGCATAGTTGACCTCTGAACCAAGCATTACTCTCCCTTCCAATGGAATGACACACTTCCATGGTGTGTGAATAAAAGGGGTGAAGACTGGGGTCTTCGAGATAACAGACACTTCATCAATTAAAAAAAAAAATACCTGTAACAGGGAGAAATGCCAAAGGGTCTTCCAGGCCACTCATTACTACCAAAGAAACTCTGGGGCAGCAGAAGTGGACATGAAGTGACAGGGAACCAGCCAGTTTAGCACAATCTTTACTTCTTCGAAGAAGGGAGAAGTTTGGAATGTCTCTTCTCTTTGTTAAATCCTGAAGAATCGAGTCACTAATATCATGCTGTGTTCTTGAGAGTGATTATAAACACAGTGCTTGGGTCTTTACAGGTGACCCAGTGGATACCCCAGCAACTTGACATAAGAATCATCCTGAACTCTTTTTAGAAATACAAACTTAGGCCAGGCAGTGGTGGCGTACACCTTTAATCCTGGTACTCAGAAGACGAAGGCAGACAGATCTCTGAGCTTGAGGCCCAGCCTGATCTAC